CTTCAGTTCTGACTGGTAGCCTCCTGCCCCCGCTCTTGGTGCCCCTCACTCCCGACCCACAGACCCTCGCCCCCCTGTACCCGGTTCATCTTGACAAGCACGCAGGGGCGCCCATCGCCGTAGCCGTAGGTGCGCCCGGCACAGGGCCCCAGCTGGGTGCGGTTGAACTGGCAGGCGCGCTTGGGGTAGTTGGGGACCCCATCATCCGGCTGCTCATTGTAGCGCCCGGGGCGACAGGCCGCATTGGTGGCTGCCTGCACCGAGTCATTGTAGGCTGGGTAGGGGGAGGTAGAAAAAGCGGGGATCAGCCAGCATTAAACCCTGGAGCCCCCCAGGATCAGGCCCCCCTGGCCAGCCAGAATCAGGATCACCAGATGCTCCTTCCCCCAGGATTGGGCTCCCTAGGATTCAGCCTCCCCCAGGATCAGGGCCACCAGACCCCGCTGCCCCCAGGGTTGGACGCTGGAGGCATCCAGAATCGGGCCCTCCACCCCCACGATCGGGGCCCCCTAGGATCCAGCTTTCCCCCAGGATTGGGCCCATCTGCCCCATGTCATGACCCTCACCCCTAGCTGGGCCTGTCACCCTCATGCAACACTAGTGCGATGCCCTTGTGCAAATCCACATGTTGCATGAGGAGAGGGAGACTCATACATGTGGATTCACGGCCATGTGTGAGAGGTGGGGGGCAGGTCCCACATGCGACACGTGGGCTGTCTCTGGCCACGAGTGTGTGACATGCAATTCACACCTACGTACAACACGTGGGGGCTTCCCAGTCATGGGGGACTTGTATCCATGTGTGTCACACATAGACTCACACCCACATGTGATGCCCTAAGCACAGTTGTGCAAGACAGAGGTTCACACCAAGGTTCAACACATGGGCTGTCCCCAGCCATGGGTGTGTGACACAGGGGACTCACGCCCACATGCAATATGAGATCTCACTAATCATGCATGTGCAACACAGGGGATGGACACACACGTGTAGACACATGGAGATGCCCTAGCTGTGTACGTGCAACATGGAGGGGTTCACACCCATGGACTTCACATGGACTCACACCCATGTGTGGCGCACAAGATTGCCCTAAGCATGGGTGTGCAACACATGGGCTCTCACCAGTCATGGGTGCACAACACTGGAGATTCACACCCACATGTAACAGGTGAGATCTCCCTAACTACAGGCATGCAACATGGAGATTCGCACCCATGCGTGACACATGGGGACTCCCTGGTTGTGGATTCACACCCATGTGCAACACATGAGAGCTCCCAAACCACGGGTGTGCAACACAGGGGCTCACAGCCACATGTGACAAATGAAAGCTCCCTAACCATAAGTGTATGACATGGGGAGACCCACACCCACGTGTGAGACGTGAGATCTCCCTAACTACGGGTATGCGACATGCCGGCTTTTTCCGGCTGCATGTGCGTGACATGGGGGGGGACTCGCACCCCTTACAGGGTGTGCAATACAGGGAGAGCTCACGCCTATGTGCAAGGGGCATGAATGCAACACACTCACGCTCCAGGAACTCATCGAGCATTTTCACGTAGTGATCCCAGGTCTCTGTGTTGCTCACATTGAAGGTCACGTCCAAGGCCTCCGTCTTGGGGCGAATCATCACGCCTAGGACACGAGAGCAGCCGTCACACACGTGTGCACACGAGGCCCCAGAGTTCAAAGAAACAGTCTGATCTGAGGTGGGGCTGGAGTGACACACATGTGTGCTCATGGGCACATGTGCAACATGAGAGACACGATACATGGGACCCAAGAGAGCATGGCCATGCATGTGTGCATGTGTGAGGGCATGAGGACACGCGTGTGCAACACCAAAGTCCAAAGCCCAAGGCCTAGGCAGAATGAGAGGGCACAAAGCACCAGTGTGTGGGGCTTGGGATGAGCCCTGTGCGCACACATATACAAAAGGACAGGTGTGCATGGAAGGACACACACACATGTGTGACACAAGGCAACAGCAAATGGGTGGGACAAGGTGACAACCATGTGCATGACACAAGAGGACACATGCACAAGACATGTGCAAGACATGCTCGTGGGCATACAATGCAAAACACACATGCGTGCAACACTCATGGGTGCATGCAACTCAAGGCAACACACATGCACATGCACCCTAGACATGCACACACACACACACACACGCAACACAGCAGACGTATTACACACACACCTGTGGGTACAACTCAAGGCAACACACACATGTGCACTGCTAGACACACACACACACACACGCATGCACGTGGGCTGTGAGACACCCCCTCACACACACAGTCTGCAAACCAAATACTAACACACACGCACGTGGGCACCAAAACCCACCCACCCACATGCACACTACAAACCATCACATGTGCAAGGCAAGGCACAAGCCCAGGCCTGCAGACTTGTACACGCATGTGTAACATGAGGTGGGGGGAGACAGACAACCCTGCCAGGCCCGTGCAAGGCTGCTGGGACTCCCAGGCAGGGCTCCTGGAGCCCAGGGGGGACACATGCAATCGGGGGGCACACGTGTGTGCAGGCGAGTGAGGCCGTACCAGGCGTGGCCAGGCGGTCCTGGTACTTGGGCATGTGTGGGTCCACAGTCTGGAGCAGGACCCACATGGTGAGTATGAACAGCGCTGTCAGGAACCCGTAGAAGACCAGGTAGAAGAGCAGGATCAGCGCTGGGGGGGGCAGAGGCAAGGGTCAGGTGGAACCCAGGTATCCAGGCTCCCAATTCCCCTGGGCTCTGACCCCCCCGACCAATAGACCCCAATCCCCTCCCAGAGAACCTAGGTGTCCGGGCTCCCCGCCACCCCCCAAGACTACTGGAAGCAGCCACTGCCTTGCTGTGGGGGCAGAGCCAGCCCCTCTCACAGCCCACATGTCCCCAACCATGACCAAGACTCCCCCACAGGCCTGCCCCCCCCACGGCGGGGTGTCTGACCTTATTCTTACAGGATTCAGGGGTCCAAAGGGGGGGTCCCCAGTGAGGGGGGGCAGGATGGGGTGAGAGGGAAGTGGGGGGCTAGGGGGTTCAGGGGGGAATAGGAC